TAGTTTTTGTGCCAAGTGTCAAATTACCACAGATAGAGTTATGTTTTGGAAAAAAGCGAAAACCTAAAACAAGCAAAAAATTATATGATCAGTACGTAAAATTATTTTATAAACTTTAACTTTATTTGCAGTCAATTAGCTTATCAAATGAAACTATATATAAGCAATAAAGGAACTGTATCAAAGTCAACTTAATTAAAGTAGAAAGGGCTAGAGATAGATGATTATTTTCATTTCATCTCTGAACGTCAAAAGGGAATTCATTCTAGCCGACGTAACATGACCGAGTCAGATGCAATGGTAAAAGAGAATGACATAAGACCCTTTCCCAAAATCGACGGGTTAAAGGGCGGGAGCTGGCTATAGATGATTGTTCAAAGTAATGTTAATTACGGCATGATTAGTTGTTTAGTTGTCTTGTCAATCCAAATATTCTACGGAACAGGTTTAGGAAACAGTCTATTCCGATTGGTTAATATGGATTTATGGCGTTACTCTGTAAGAAATTAAAGGTTTTTCTTTAGGAAAATTCTTGGGTCTTCAATCTTACTTGGAAAAGAGTGTTCGAGACTCCGGGAAGAGCGTGTAAGACGTTATCTCGTTATTTGGCAGTAAAGCGGGAGTTTTGGCTCAGCGAATAGGCAAACTCTACATTCTGAATTCGTAAAAAGTACGTTTTCATTTTAGAGTAAGGGACCAGATAGTTGTCTCAGTTAGGAGACGGACTATACGTGAGGTTCGTGGAAACGAATAAAGAAACAGCAATAGGTACGCAATTTTAGTTTCCCGATTTTAATATGTTATTTTATTTGTTGATCTATTTTGTAAATGTATTCTTGATATGATGTATGTATGTATGATTTCATTTTGCAGGAATTTAGTGAAATGCTAGTCATGACATGTTACTCTTTGATTTTCTAATTATCAATTCATTTGGAGAATTGGCAAGATTGAACGTAATTAAAATTTCATTATATTAGTTGACAAGATTGCATGTAATTGAATCTTTAATACATAGGAGTGATTAGGAATTTAAATGAATTAAGCTTAAGGAATGATTGGTAATGTTTCATAGTTTTATGGATTAACTCTCTAGAATGAGTATGACCTAACAGTACATGCATATCCATATACTAGTTTGTAATATTTAATTGATCCCTTAAGTGTATATATATATATATATATATATATATATATATATATATATATATATATATATATATATATATATATATATATATATATATATATATATATATATATATATATGTGTGTGTGTGTGTGTGTGTGTGTGTGTGTGTGTGTGTGTGTGCTAGTTTGTAATATTTAATTGGTCGAGTAAACTATTTTAGAATAGTTAGATCTGAGGGTCTAAGCCATATGTAACTTAACACTGCTAGATTGGTAGAGTAAGAAGTCAAGGGGGGGTACATACGGGTTCATACGGCTGAGTTGAATTTAATTGACCTTCCCTAGCGTGACCCGAATTAAGGTCAGGACAAGCATTGACCGTTTATGTAAACATAACAGTTAGGGAGCAATGAGTTACTGCGGCAGAATTTATGCCTTTTGTTTTCTGAGCTGAATTAATGTAAAAATATAGATATACTTGGAAATGTGACCTATTTTCTATTGCGAGACATTTTATTTATTGAAGGAAACAGCTTTCATGAATTCACATGAGAAATCCCTGAACAATCACAGGACCAGAACAAGTTCTACGTAGAAATCTAAATCCAGAGACGATTGTTAAGTCAGAGACGAAACAGCTAGACAAAGATCGACGTAGCAGGGACGAACGGAAGTCTTGATGTCCGCATAAAATAGGTGATGAAGTCTCTCATCGTTGCACTCAAAGGTCACATCTCATTGGCAATGAAGATAGTATATTAACGTGGAAAGTAATTTTACATTTAAATAAATTTGTATTGTCTTTTTATTTGAGTACATGTTAGTACCATTTTCCTTCTTTTGTAACCAAGTTATTGATTTCTTTTCATTTTAAATTCTGTTGATAAACTGATTAAATGTTATATTTGTTCATTGAAAGGGGGCTCGTCGTGTTTATTTCATTCAATAAACTTGTTCAGTGATCTGCAGTCTTCTTTCTATCTATCCACACTGGGTAAACTACACCGCGGAGGTCATTCCCTAGCAACGAACCGTAGTGAAAGAGGTTGGTGTGGTTTGCACGCCGCCAATTCCGCACAATATATATATATATATATATATATATATATATATATATATATATATATATATATATATATATATATATATATATATATATATATATATATATATATATATATATATGTGTGTGTGTGTGTGTGTGTGTGTGTTTAATGTTTATTTCATAAGTTGTGTATTTTTCAATGCATTTACTTGTGTTCTTGCTTTCAATATGAACATTTGCATTGGACATTGGGGAATAGTATTTGTAAGGAATAGAGAAACTTTTGTGAGCTTAAGTAATACTAGGTTATTTTTTAGATTGGCAATATTAACGAAGTCACAATGATAGTTCTGCTAAAATGCCAAAAATAAATGGAGTTCATTAGTTGGATAAAACATAGTATTTTTGGAAATATGTTATTCACTGACCTATATGTTAAGACCAGTTTATCAAAAAAAAAACCCCAGTCATGTTTTTACTATGTATTTATTTATGCTGCAAAGCCAGTGACGTTGGCAAGTTCAGCTTATTAAATGACCATGGTTATCTTCTTTCTATAGCATTGGAATATGTGCCATTATAAATGCAAAACAGATATATGTTTCATGTTTGCAACCTTATTTTTCCTTGCATGACACAAACATTTACTTTTAGTACCAAAGAGGTAAAAATGAACATTTAGTAATTTTTTTTACCTCGTTTCTTTTACTCACTGAATTTGAATCAGTTATATGATAATAGCCCTAACATAAATAAAATTTTGAAAGCTGTTTGTATAAAATACATTTATCTCAAAAAGGTGAAGTACAAATAAATTAAATTTCTTCTTTTAATATTGCCCTTAATCAACACATAATTTTCATGAGAGAGAGAGAGAGAGAGAGAGAGAGAGAGAGAGAGAGAGAGAGAGAGAGAGAGAGAGAGAGAGAGAGAGAGAGAGAGAGAGAGATTTCCTGCATGTACTACAGATAAATAAATAAGACTACTAGAAATATTAACAGTGTATTTGGGATCTTTGAGTTACCGATATACATCTGATTTGAATACAAATACATGTAAATCAAATATCTTATCCCAAAATGATATTTTTATTAGAGTTGAGAACGTAGATGAAAATTATTTTATAAGTATGCTGTTTTGTATTTCTCTTGCAAAACTATGTTAATATACTTGCTAGAATGATTGTTACATTTTTGATGGCTTTACCATATGTCAGCTCATGTACAGCGTAACTGTAAGTAGCTTGCCCCATTATTTTCAGCTATCAACTATTTTCACTCATTTATATTGCAGAGTGCTAAGGGGAGCTAATAATGTGCAAGGACTCTATCATGTAAACACTACTAAATTGTTAATTTTGTATTCAGTAATACGTTGTGTTATTATTACACTGTTGTATTCTAAAAACTGTACCCAGGGGCCCTGGGTGGTTGAGTACTCGCCTTAATAAATCACTGCAATCTGTCCATATGTGTTTGAGTCTTGTAAATGGCAGTGTGGGAATGTTTGAAAGCTTCCAGTAGTTTCCGGTAAGTTGGTGGTTCTTACCAGGGCTTCCCTATTTTCTTCTACAACCAGTTATGTTGGCAGCCATGTAAAGACTAACTTTGCCTGTGAAATGACACTTGTTTGTTTATAAATAAAGATATGGGAACTGCTAATTTGCTAAACAGGAAGGCAAGCTTGGTTAGCGAGTTGGAGGTTGGTTGGTAGTCAAAACAAATGTATTAGCTGTCAAGCAGGAGGGTATGAAAATCTCATGCAGCTGAAATTTATTTTAGCAGATTGGGGTGTGGGTGTGTGGGCTAATTTGTTTAAATATAATAATAAATTTAAAGAAATGCTCAAAATTGTGGTAAGAAGCCCAATAAAAGAAATATGACTAAAACATGAATGTATGTATTGGGTTGCGTGTAAAATATGCAATACACAAATGCTATAATATAATATCCTTCATAATCTTAACATAGTTATTCAGCATCAAATGGACGAGCCACGGAATAAATATTTTGAAAGTTTTCCTAAATTCTTATTGTGGCAGGAGATAGATGCTTATTTATTTAGCACAATTTTACTTTTATATTAATTTACTTTTAACCAATCATTGCTTGTCCGGGACGCCGAACAGGTCTGATGTTGCTGAACAGATATTCTACGACCAGCAAAACAAACTGAGGGTTAATATACAATTTAAAAGTAAACAGATTTCTGTTAAATATTGTAAGTATTATTTATGAGCAGTTAGAAGTATATCATCGTATATATTGCCATGTAACACTGAAATGGCCAGTGAGACATACTTTAGCATTGATGGATTGGACAATTCCATGGAAAACAGTTATGAAACCGAGAGTAATAATGTTTTAGAAACATCATTAACGAACGATATTCTATGTGGCAGGATATCTCCAAAAGTAACGAAGTTCTTCGGCCATCATCTATTGACAAATTTGGAAGTTCTTTGCAGGAAGATCTGTCAAGACATCATGACGCTTTAAATATATCCATGCCAGACGAACTTGGCTTTTTTGTAAGATGATAACATGACCTGAAGAAAGATAATGTTGATGTATTTGGATTATCAGAATCACCTACAATGACATATCATTCAAGCATCTGTTTTCTCTGTCTAGAACCATTACAGATGATGTATGTGTTTTGGACTTTTATAGAGATGTCTAGCACTGGGGTATGGTGCCGCAGACATGTAGCATCATGTCCAACTCAGTCACATTATCCGGACACCAGGCTGACGTGTCCTGACACTAATCTCTTAATGTTGAGCACCAAGCGAGGCAGCTGCGAGTACCATTTCTATAAGTCTCTTATATGACTCTGTCAGGGTTCGAACCCGCGACCTTCCGCATCCGAGGCGGACGCTCGAACCATTCGACCAGTAAAGATAGGAAATCTGCCATTGGTTAAAAAATATCAATGTACCGTATCAGCTCACTTAAAAGTCTAGTCAATCTGAATGGAACAAAGATTATGTTGTACCATAGCAAAATGCATCTGCAGAACAAGATTAATGCTGTTTGTTCTACTGAGTACTCTTAACAAACGACACCCACCAAGATTTGCTGGTACATTAGATGACAGTATATCTGGGTCTTTAGTTTATATTTGGACTCGTCTTATAAGTGAGAATAAATTGTATGTAGTATCTTAAATGTCATGTCATAGAAGCTTCTAAACTTTAAATACCATGTAATAGAAAGTTGTTAAACTTTAATGTCATGTATCTTGACGATTCAGTGTCTACTACTTATAATTAACTGTAATATCGCTCATAAATGATTTCAGCTATAGCAATTGTATTGTTTAACATCATCATCCTCTACAGTATCCTACTTCTGATTCAAATTTATTATCATTTGACCAGGATGATGAAGTCATAGATCATGTACACATTATTCTAGCAAGAACATTTTAAGAATAACGTTTTGTGAAAAATGTTTAATGGCTTGGTCTAATATTCATCGATATGACGAAAATACATTGATCTCAAGTACCATCGGAGTAAAACTGGTATAATGCTAATGTCATAATTGAGTTTGGTAATTCAGATGAAATACATTTGGGATGGAACCACTTTTTCTGATACATTTTAAATTAATAAGAAGTTTGAAACAGGATGATGGTTCTTTTAAATCGTTAGGGCCAGGTGTCAATTTTTTGACAGGTTTCACAATGGGAGCTTTGAAAAATGATGAACATTTCTTGGATGAGAGAGAAGTATTGATAGCAACAGTTACTGGAGGCAAGTTTAAATCAAAGTACTCAGGCAGCAGTGATGTTGAAGTCTGGTTGATTTCACGTGACTTTGGGGAACTCTTCATCACAAGGCTTTTGGTGTGAACTTCAACACAAGGCCAAGAAATAAAAAAATGTATTTTTTTCATGAGGCGCTGCAGCGCTCAAAAGCTGGTCCAATGAGAAAATTGCAGTTTAAGTTTTAATGTCATGTGTCGAGAATTTCAATTTTATGTGTTGAATCAAATTATTTGTCCTTAAAATATTTCATTTCCTAGGTCGAGGTTTTAGATTGTGTTCTTTACATTGCACGGCAGCTGTTGAAATTTCAATATAGTAGGTCGAAAATTATTGATTCACATGTTGAGTTCAACTGTATTGAGAGTTCCATTTTACATGTTGAGTATTGAGAGTTCATTTGTTCAGTTCACAGCTTTTGTTGAAACTTCGATATTCAACGTTGATTATAAAGAATGTATCATTTGAATTATACAGCAGTTGCTGAAATGTTAATGTCATATGTCGAGCATTCAATTTTCACGTGTTGAATCACATTGCTTGTCCTTAAAGTTCCTTTTTATTTTCATGATCAAGATTTTAGATCATATCTGTTGAATTACATATTAATGGATGAAAGTTTTATTTACAGTATCCGTCAAGTTGTAGATTGTGTCGTTAGAATTACAAGTCGGTAGTTGAAATTTCAATGTCAATTTCTTTTGTTGAATTAAACTGCACATGTTGAAAGCTTCATTTCATCGAGTTTATCTTTTTATTTCATCTGCTGAATTACAGAGCGTTTGTTGAAATTTCAATGTCTCATGTTGAGCCATTAGATTGTATCTACTGAATTACACAGCAGTTGCTGAAATGTTAAAGTCACATATCGAGAATTTCGATCAACATTCATTGTGCTTTTCAGAATTCGTATTTTTATTTAGTGAAATACTATGTTTGTGATAAAACTTACATTACCCCTATAACAATTCAAAATAATATTATTTTTCGTTCTCATACCAGAACCAGACTAAAACCTTTCAAGAAACGGCATTGGAAAGCAGACTTAAAGGGTTTTTTTTTATTTTTCGGAGGGGTTACAATAGTGACAGTGAATTTGTCATTGCTATGAATTCATTCTTATTAATAATTAACTTGTTTAAAAAGTATGACTGGCAAAAAACCTAAATTTCTTTTACAACCAATATTGCCTGATTTAAAGAAACGTTTATACCATCTTCTGCGCTACTAACTAGAGTCTGCTGTTACCGATTTCTGACCAGCAACCACATAATCCTCCATCGGATTATTTAAGACATTGACCAAGTTTTCGGTTTGGTTATGCCAAGAAAGGTCATAGTTTAGTTAGATGCAGTCTTTTTGGCAGATTACTTGATTCAGTCTAAAACAATACATTTTTTTCATTTTAATTTAATCACAATGGTTTAATGCGCTAACACTTATGTTTTTCTGTCATAATGAGATAATACTACTAAAACTATTTCTGTGAAGGACTTTGCTGGTTATGTATTTTTCTCCTTATGGAGGTATGCAATTCATATATTTAATGCAATAAAACCAGTCTGTTTAAACATATTTTGCCATAAATTTTAATATATGGGTTAGGCTACTACAAGTTCTCATAACTTACAAGAAACCATTCTCCTACTATCGGTATGAAATTTACACAGAAAGCGGCAGTGAAATGATATGATTTCATACAGTTAGATGTAATTATATGTAAGCACATATATATATCGAGGAAAATTGGCAACAAAGAGCGAGAGACACAAATAATTAATGATCGGAGCATAAATAAGACAGGAGTGCATATACTACAGTAAACTCAGGAGTTAAAATTAGGAACATCGTATCTATTTTTATCAGAATGACCAAATTAATCAAGTAGAGAAGAACAATTTTGAATAGTCCTTAATTATGCGAAGCATTTGTGTCTTTCAGTCAAATAAGCAATAATTAACATTTGCCGTAAAATCATTTGACCCATATAATAAAAGATTCATAGTTGTTGGTATAGAGACGATATAGATTTTCAACGCTATTCAAGAGAGTAGTTGCAAATAAATATTTAATGCCACGGAATTTCCAAATCAAAACCACAAACACTATATTGATTATCTTTCATATTTTTCTGAATATAAATAATGTTTTGGATATGCGCATTTGTGTACAGCGCTCCGTTTTAAGAATTTCTTAGATGCTTGTGATTACTTGTTTGATTATGGGAAATCGGTCCTGGGAAAAGTTAATGAAGAGAAACCATGGAGATGAGCGGTTCAACAATTGGGAAGTTGTGAGATCTGTGGTCTTGTATTAATTAGAGTAAAATTATTTATAGGACACGTTGAACCTTTCAGTTTACAACAATATTTATATAGTAGTCTTTGGAATTAGGGGAAGCTTATGACTTCTATCGGTGTTTTGTCATCATAATACCTTAAGGTATGCTTAATCTAACTGGAATATTGTGAAACTGAACGATCTAAAGAGACAGCATTACATATAACACTTAAAATATATCACTTTAAAAGAAGACTCTAGTCATTATGTGATTTAACGGTAAGTATGAAATCCGTTTTGATTACTGGTAATGCCTATACCAGAACACCCTAAATGCATATCACGTTTGTTAGGTTTCGACTGTATACTTTGGGCAAATTTTATGCTCACAATGACATTAGCAAGCTTCAAGCCTCCAATTACCACCATACGTCATATGAAATCGCAATCTAATTGAGTGTACACTAAAATTAGTATAGCTGTGATGAAGGAACATAATTCTATTATCAGCAATTCTAATCGTCTGAGGCCAATAAATTATTTCTTATCAATGTTAAAAGAAAGAAATATTTACCTTTCGTCAGCAATGTATAGATCCCATGCAAAATAGTCACATATAATTCAATATTATTACTCATATCCGATTATGTACATCAAAGAAACATATGTAAGCTGCAGCATTGGTCTCGTTATCAAGGTAAAGTGTCTGGTGTATATTACAGCCAGTCACTGACAATAGAAACACATCAAGTGCATATTACAGCCAGTCACGATGAGTAGAAAAGTGTCTGGTGCATATTACATTCAATCACTGTACGGTGTCTATTACAGTCAGTCACTTTATATATAAAAGTGTCACTGTAAGAAGAAAAGTGCATATTGTATATTACATTCAGTTACTGTAAGTAGAAACGTGTCTTATATGCATTACAGTCAGTGTCAGTAGAAAAATGTGTTTGGTGTTTATTACATTCAGTCACTGTAAGTAGAAAAGTTTATAATACATATTACATTCAGTCACTGTAAGTAGAAAGGTGTCACACATATATATGTTCTAATGGCTGCTGGTTTACCTATAAAGATTGTTGTTCTTTATTTTGTATATTTTTGTATTCAAACGTCAATTGTGTGACCTTGGCAACCTTCCTTGTGAGCTGTATTTGTTAATCTGGTCACCACCAAGAATTGACTATAGACCACAGGTTGTCTTGATATAGCCACGGCTTTTCTAACCGCATAAACGAAAACTGCATTTTATCAACAAGCAAATTTTTCACAGATGTTTATGCATGCAAAATTAGACTTGTGCATGCAACGTTGTCTTTTGGGAGCTACAAATTAGTCGATAGGCCTTAATGGAACCATAGCCTGTTAATTCTTCACGCTGATATTGAATTAAGGCTTAATCCCAGAAGACATACTGCCGTTACATCAATCCAATACAACCACATTAAATTATTTAAGGCTTGTCGGCGAACAAAAATTGAAATGTCTCATGATGTTATTGCCACCATCTGATATCAAGGGATTATAAACTCTGTCACTCATTTAGATAAACCAATTAAGCCCCTGCGTAAATTGGGGGGGGGATATGCATAATATGGTATCAACTTACGTGTGAGTCTGAAGACCCACCAAGTATTAGAACTTCACTTTGAATAAATATGTTGGTACATATAAGGAAGTGTGAGAGCAGAAAAGTTAAACTTATATTAATCAATATAGGTACCCATTAGGAACTGTGAAGGTAGATACTTGATTAAAAACCAATTAGAAAATGTTGTTGTTTGTATTTGTTCGTCTGGTAATTTGGAGTATGATAAATTGTTAGGATTATTTTGATGTACAG